GGCAATGGCAGCCCCGGGGCTCGCCGAGGGGGCCGAGGGCAGGGCATGTGCCACACACTACTGATACAGCATATAGCAACTATAGTAGTGGTAACAGACAGTGACAGGGTTATTTAGCAATTAACTTTATATCATTTATTTATTGACTATTCTCCCCCAAAATCAAATCCCCATGAGATACACATCGGACTTCCCCATCCTTTCTCATTACTCACCAGGTGCACCCAGGTCCCTGAGCAAAAGCAATCCCGCGGATGGGCTTACCTTTGCCGAGGTCCATCTGGGAAGCTCGTGGAATAGATCCTCCTAGAAGAATGGAGGACAGGGAGGTGATTCGAGGCAGCCAGCATGGCTTCACCAAGGACAAGTCCTGCCTGACCAACCTAGTGGCCTTCTATGATGGAGTGACTACCTCTGTGGACAAGGGAAGAGCTATGGGTGTGATCTATCTGGACTTCTGTAAGACCTTCGACACAGTCCCTCACAACATCCTTCTCTCCAAAATCAGGAGATGTGGTTTTGATGGGTGGACTGTTTAGTGGATGAGGAATCAGTTGGATGGTCGCATCCAGAGGGTAATGGTCAACGGCTCCATGTACAGATGGAGACTGGTGACAAGTGGTGTCCCTCAGGGGTCCGTACTGGGACCAGTACTGTTCAATATCTTCATCAGTGACCTAGACAGCGGGATTGAGTGCACCCGCAGCAAGTTTGCAGATGACACCAAGCTGAGTGGTGCGGTCGACACGCCTGAGGGATGGGATGCCATCCAGAGGGACCTGGACAAGCTCGAGAAGTGGGCACATGTGAACCTCATGAAGTTCAACAAGGTGTCACACCACAATAATAAGAGTGACTAAATGTCCCACTCCATTAATGAGAGTGACTCACATTCACTGATCCCCTGTGTTGGATTAAGGTGAAACGACACCAGATATCCTGTATCATTTTACAATGTTTATTCACAATTATGATAAAGTTACTGAGGCACGATAACGACAAGCAAATTATGGTGGCACAATTATGACAAGCAAACTACGGTGGTACAATTATGATAGACAAACTACTGAGGCACGATTATGGTCACGATTATGGTAAGCAAACTATGGTGGTATTGGGGTTTTCTGCTCCACACACGAAACTTGCTCGTCCTCCTTGCTGAACTGCCCAAGGTTTCTGTCGGCTCACTCCAAGTTTGTTAAGACCTCTCTGAACTGAAGTTGTACAAGCCAAGATGCCAACCCTGCTTTCTAATTTAGTATTGTCTGCAGAATAGCCAGATAGCCAATAGAGACAAAAAAAAAAATCTCATAGTGCAATAAACATAGCATTTGTCTTGACAAATAACACTGATTTTAGTCACAAAATTGGATACTGGGAAAATTATTTTACCGCAGCAGAAAACTGCAAACAAATGTAGAAATGCAATGCGACGAGAGAGTCAAATCCTCGGAGGGCATGAGCTGTACCTAGAGCCAGTCCAGAACCCATCCAGTACAATGAACATTACCCAAAATGAGCACAGTCCCTAGTCTGCCTTAATTAAGTATTCAAAGTGGTCCAAAAGCTCTACTGTTAGTAACTTTATCCGTTTCTACAGATAATGTGAGAAATTTGGGACCCATGAAAGTCAGCGGGAGAGCTCAATTGGCTTCTGTGGAGTTTTGATTCACTCAATAAATTTGATCATATCAGCTGCAATGGCAGTTCTTATTTTCCTTCAGGAACTTAAATTTCAGCATTGATATATGACTTTGGAGGAGTCCTGTCGAGTCAAGTTTTCACTTCCATTGCTTGAAGATTTGTCGCTAAGTCGTTGCAATTCCAAAGCCTAGACAATTATGTTGATGATGCCAGGCCTGATCAAAAATGTTGACATTAATTCAGGGTTTATGAAATGTTTCAGGACAACTCAACATGGAAGTCTTTATAAGCC